AATAAATATAATATATCATTAAATATATAGTAATATATAAATTAATGTAAAAAAAAAAAAAAAAAAAAAAAAAAAGAGTTGAAAAAGTACTGGCCCATTTATAATTGATCCTTTTAATGGCACCAGGGTGTTGTGTTGTGATAATAGAACATGGAACCTAGTGCTTCTTCCTGTTGTTCCTGATTCTCAATCAGTAATATAATATTGATTGGAGAAAATGTGTATTAGAGGCTCAGCACTGCTTTTATTATAGTAGGCTTTGGTCACTCATGGGAATGGCATATCTAGTTTTGGGAGGCTAGTCCTAGTAGTTTTGTGTGATTCTTTTCTCTGTACCACGTATGATTATTGAGAGCCTTTTCTTTAGCTGAGAGACCCCAGTATGTGCTACAGGATCTTCCTTCAGTCTCAACAAATTGATTCAGCCCCTCCACTCATGTATTTTCTCACAAGAATTTTTAGGCTTAATTTGAATGTTGGTAACCCTTTGTTAAAGAGAATCCACCCAGTGATTTCAAAGATACTGAACAAGGCAGAGAAAGTCCCAGTGGGCACTATTTTCAGAGTAATCAGAAGTATATTAACCAAAGTGTGCCTTCCATGGCTCTTGACACTTGCTGGAGTTTTGAATCTCTCATAGCTTGAATTAACTGAATCGGAATCAGAAAGCATACTGAAGCCCTTTAGTGTCAGTCATGTACCTAATGGAGGTTGGATACCTAGAAGCAAGCAACTTGGCATTTGGATCTATCCCTGCATCTAATACACAACAGGGGCCCACTTCCTACCCTGATAAGCTAACACTTGCTTAGGATGTTATTGACTTTGTCTACTGTTCAGCTCCTAAGGCTAAAAGCTAGCAGGAGATTCTCAGCAGGTCCTCATTTTATTCTTCCTTTGACTCTCTAGATCAGACTTGTTGTGGAAGAGGGATTGAATCAGCTGCCATATAAAGAATGTATGGTGACAACTCCAACAGGTAACTAGGACTGTTACTCTCACATTTTTCTCATGAAAAATCTGAGTTGAATGGAGGAAAGTGGAAAGAAAGCAGTCTGAGTAAAATCAGTATGCAAAATTAGGAGTCTATGTGGAGCTGTTCTTTTAAACATCTTTTAAAAACTCTAGGAAATAGGGAGGTAGACTTTGTCGAGATGGAAAAGGGACCTGAGAAAAGGGGAAGAGGGGAGGCTGGGAGGGGAAAGGGAAGTAAAAATGGCTAATATGTGATATGTACATGTTTCAGTTCCTCAAAATGAATGTAATTATTATGTACAACAGATAGAAACCAACACAAAGCTCTTGAGACATTTAGGAAAGAAATCTCTGCCTGTGACTTGGTGGTCAATTCAATTCAAGGTTAATAAATATTCTTCAGCCTGCCAGTGTTGCCTGTGATGATGGCCGGTGGGACCAGAGTTAAGAACTGGTGGCAGCTTTCTTCACCTCTGTTGGGAAGTTGCTGGTGTTCAACGGGGGTGGCTGGTTTGGTGCTTAAACCCCAAGTTATAAAAAAAGGATGAGAATTAAAAAAAATGATGAGAATAGAAGATGCTTTGTTCTAATAGAACATAGCCAAGGAAGCCCTTTGTCAAGAATTTGAAATTCTGATGTGGTTCTTTAGTAAATAATGAAAGCCTATTCAGAGGGTTGACTTTATGTAAAATTAGGGGCCAAGCTTGTTTTATCATAATTGACACCAGTTCAGGATGAGACCGAGGGTTGAATAGCTTGATATCTATTTCAGCCTCTTCTGCTTTTAAGACTGAATGGAAGCTCGTAAAAAAGGACGGCTTGATGAGGCTTTCTGCTGTGGCTTTCAGTGGGGTCCCAGTTTGAATTGATGAGGTATATTGCATTCTCCTTTGAATTCAATTTGAGGAATGTGTTTGTGAATATTATCATACACTAAGTCCTGTTCCCATTTGATGAAGCACTCTAATCCCAATTATCCCAAAAGGTTTCTTATGAGAAATTGAGAAATAACTATGAGAAGTCATGACTCATTACATTCACAGGCAATCTAAGGTGATACAGAATGTCTCTGGACAAGAGTTGCTTTGTAATCATCTGCTTTAAACCATAGGAACTTCATAGAATAACTGGGTTGCTCTAATGATGAAAAATAAATTCTTTGATTTTATTTCCCAACAGGGTACAAGTATGAAGGAGTAAAATTTGAGAAGGGAAATTGTGGGGTCAGCATAATGAGAAGCGGTAGGTTTGCATATATGTGATTTCTGTCTCTTTGAATGCATAGAAACCGTCGCCATTTCCCAGGAGAGAGGTGGGCTTGTCTGTCATAATTGCAGCCTACCTTTGCTTAAATCTCACCACCTGTGTTGCCTCTCCTCATGGTGCCTTGGAGTAATGGCCTATGTGCTGCTAAATTTGGCTAATTTTAACTGCAGAACATTTTTCCTAGTGATGTTCTCATGAGGATGCCAGCTTTAAAAAAACATTCAGAGAAGGTGAGAGGATAGGAGGATGCCACGCTATAGTTACGGAGAGAGCAGGACAGTTTGAAGACTGAAAAAAATATGTCGTGGATTCAGTACTGAAGAGATTTTGAATTCCTGCCTGGAGAAAATACTTGTTCTGTGTTTATTTCTGTTGCAGGGAAAGTGCTACTCTGCCAAGAGATGGACTCTTCAATGTATTTTTTTTCCGGCACTGAGGGTTAAATACAGAGTCTTCACACTGCACCACAACCCTAACCCTTTTATTTTAAAATTTGAGACAGGGCCTAAGTTTCTAAATTTCCTAGGCTACACTTGACCTTGTTATTATTCTGCCTCCGTCTCCCAGAGTGCTAGGATTACAAACATGTACCACCATGCCCAGCCTCGTTGAATATTTTTAATTTTATATTTGATAAGTATGTAACCATGCAGGTAAAACACCTAGCTTACATTATAGCTCTAGATATTTCCACTTGCTGGTTTTATGAATGTTGTATTTGTATTTGACTCCAACTGACAAGCCTTCTAAGTCAACTTTGTGTGGCAAAATTGCATTCTTGCAATTAAAATCTATACCTATTATGTGGGGATAATTACTTCCATTCAAACTTGATTTTATTTTGTACAAGGTTCGCTTTTGTTTCCCCACGAGTGGTGGAAGTCTCACTTGCTTGCACTGGATACAGATGGATTTTTTAAACATATAACATTTACTTTTCTCCTCTGGCTATGAAGTTCTGTTTGAACAATTGAATACCTCGGGTAAAACAGGAACTTCGTAGCTATTAAGCAATGATGGCATTCTTAGGACAATGTTGATAAATAATAGATAATGTCTTTTGTTTCAGTCCATCTCCTTCCCTAAAGGTAACACTGTGGTCTTTGGACCTCTAGCGCATACCAGATGACTTTGGGTAATACGGAGAATATTGGCTTTTTTTTTGGTTGTTCTTGTTTGTGTTTTGTGGGGTATTTTGCTTTGCTTTGTTTTAGTGATGTGATTTGAACCCAGGGCCTTATCATGTACTGTACCACTGAGCTACATCCCCAGCCCCAGTAGCACTGTTTTCAACCTTAATAACCACCTGTTGATTTTCATATATGTATTAGAAAGAAAATTAATTTTATGTTTACAGTAGTGCTGTAAAAGTTCCTCTAATGCCAGCCACTCAGGAGGCTAAAGCAAGAGGATCACAAGTTTGATGTCAGCCTGAGAAACTTAGTGAGATTGTCTCAGAATTAAAAAATAAATCAATAAATCAATAAATCAATAGGACTAGAGATGTAGCTCAGAGATAGAGCACACCTGGCTTCAATTCCAAGTATTGCAAAAATTAATTAATTAATTAAAACAAAAATTATTAATTTAAGAAAAATAGTAAGTAAATACAGTACCAGCTGCTATAATTCAGAAGGGGCCTAAAATCTTGAAGATTATGTAGGAACGATCGACTTTTGACAAACACTTCCTTACCGGAATTCATACTCAAAAATAACTGTTTAGAAACCAGGGTGGCAGGGCAGGCTGTGGTCGCAAGAAAGAGAATTGTCTTTTACTGTCTACTACAAGATCTCTGCAGCGAAATCAGTGATGAACTAAGTGATGTCTCCTAATACCACCTTCATCGAAAGGGAGATCCTTTGCTTTACAGCTCCTATTCTACCCTATATCTTCTATGTTTTCTAGATGAAAGTGATAAATTGAGATGGTTTAAAGGCTTCTTATAAAATAATAGGAGGAAAAGTGTTCCTGATATCCAAAAAGCTCAGGGAGCAACTCAGGAAAAACACTTTACTTCCTATAAGCATGGAAATGTGACAACTGTAATGCTTGTAAACGCGCAATAAAACTAGCTTATCATAGCATCAGTGACCAGACTTTAACCTGGTTTCATTGACCTGAGCTAAAAATAAAACATGGATATATCAGAAGAGAAAGCTGTCAGCTGCAGAAAATTTCCTTCCTTTTTGGTAGAGTCCTTTTTGTATTAATGAAGGTCATAAACTCTGCTTTGGTCCGTTCTTAGATTATTTTCTCCAACCCTTTTTTCCTGTTTTCTTTTTAATTTCCTTCTTCAAGGTGAGGCAATGGAACAAGGTTTAAGAGATTGCTGTCGATCCATACGAATTGGAAAGATCCTGATTCAGAGTGATGAGGAGACTCAAAGAGCCAAAGTATATTATGCCAAGTTCCCGCCGGACATTTACCGGAGAAAAGTTCTTCTGATGTATCCAATTCTCAGTGAGTGGTCTGAGTTTAGTTTGTAACCTTTAATTAGGGTATAGATTCAATTTAGTGACTGCATTTGCTAAATGTGTTTTTGTTGGTTGGATTTGGAGTTACCCTGAACAGTTCACTAGGGAATTTTCATTGTATAATAATGGTATATACTGTGCATTAGCCAAACTTTATTAACTTCAAAGAGCTCTGTCTTGAACTGAGCGTATTAAAGCAAAGGACCTAAACAAAGTGGTAGGAAATTAGCAGTGGTTGATATATTACCTATTGTTATTGTCAGCGAAGTTCCTCAGATTACCAGATGTAAGAATGCAAGATTGATCAAACCATTACAGAGGATAAAACATAATAATAAACATTAGAAATGATGCAAAGCTTCACTAAACAAGATGTTTTTAGAAAACTTGTATCATTTTTTATAGTTTTAGTGTTGTTTCATTTTTGTCTATGTTGTTCTTATTTTGTTATTTTTTATTCTCTTTAAAATAAAGCAAAGAAGACAATGAGACAAAATGTATAGCACACAGAAAATAAATTGAAACATTTCCCCTGTCTAGTCTACTAAGTACAGCAATGATTTTCTCAAGGATTTGTCTTCTCTGATAGTAATATTTTTCTGTTATTCTCTTCTTTTCCTAAGCTGTCTCAGATCATATATGGTCTCCCAGGGAGGTGAGGGTGAATATATCAAATTTAATAGCTCAAGTGCTAAATTAATTTAGAACTTACACATTTGATAACTGTGTTATGTTCATTTTTGGAAATAACATTTATAAAGAACGAGGACACATTCAAATGAAATTTTGCTTAATGGTATCTTAAGTTAGGTTACTATCTTGCCCTTCAAAGTCATTTTAAAATGTTAATGTTGCTCATACACTGTGTTGTCTCTTGATTTCAGGCACTGGAAACACTGTTATAGAAGCTGTAAAGGTTCTTATAGAACATGGAGTTCAACCCAGTGTTATAATCCTACTCAGTCTCTTCTCCACTCCTCACGGTAAGTTCAGCATGAGGCAGTAACTGGAGCTCGATGGTCATGAGGTGGTAAAGGTGACTCTGGCTAGCCTCTCATCCTGTGGGGAACTTTGGTTAACTACGTATTAAACCTGAGTCTAATTTTTGTAATTATAAATTGTGTCTGTCATCTCTAAGCTTTATGGTAATATTTTACACCACTTTTTGAGATGGAGTTTTGCTATCTGATTTTTTTTTTTCTTTTTGAGACAGGGTCTCGCTATGCAGTTTAGGCTGCCCTTGAGCTCACTTTGTAGCTCAGGCTGGCCGTGAACTCACAGTGATCCTCCTGCCTCAGCTTCCGAGAGTGCTAGGATTGCAGGTGTGCGCCACCACGCCCCACCCTGCTATCTGGTTTTGAACTCCTGGGCTGGTGATCTCCTGCCTCAACCTCTCTAGTAGTTGTATGACAGGGATGTGCTACCATACCTGACTTACATTGCACCATTCTGTTGTTCCGATTTAAATGGAGAAATATGAAATAAGTCCATTAAAAATAATTGGAACTGTTTTCTTAGTTTCCCTGATAGGGCCTAGAAATAGCTGAAAGATCTTTGTTTCCTCTGGCTCTCCACTTGAGAGTCAAACAACCTGTGGTTTTACTGAAGTAAGTTTTGTAGTAAAGTTAAGAGCTACATTTTTTAAAATTAGATTTTGACTCTTAGGGCACAGTGAAAACACTGTTTTCTGTTTCCTGCAAGAAATGTACCTAATTGAAGATGCTAGGTTTTTACCATATAATTTATGACAAAAGGGGGTGTGACCTAAGAAAAGAGTTATAGATACACATAGGAATTTTGTTTCTGGGATGTTCATTGTAGAGTTACCTAGTATAAAAAATTTCAAAGTATATAGTTGAGTAACAAGGAAATAGGTAAATAAACATATATTCAAAGGATGTAATATGTAACTGGCAAATCATGTTTTTAAAAAATGTTTAAAGACATCAAGAAATATAGATGTAAATAGCATAAAATACAAAATAAAAAGCAATATAAATATTAACAGCATTAGAATACTATGAAATATTATCACCAAGTTTAGTGATGACCAATTCAGTTTATGTCTTTTTTTAACTACCAAAATCAGACTTGGGTTTAATATATAGAACCTAATAAATCTTTCTTCAGCATAAGAGGTTATGCAGATATACAATACTGTTTGAATTTTGGTTTCACAATCCACACATAATATTAATAGTGGTCATTTTAATGTAAGAAGATTGTAAGTGATTTTCATTTTATCTTTAAACTTTTGGGGAATCTTTTCTAAGTGTCATACAATGAATTTATATTTGCTTCATAGTTGAAAATAGAGGTAGCTTCTCTATAGTCAAGGAGTTTCCTCATTTCCAGACATTCTAAGTCCCAACCCATGCTGAAGAAGTCACAGGATAGCGAGTTAGGAAGGCTGTTTTTCAGTAGGCTGGGGCATAGGAATTGTAGCCTGTTTGGTAATTTTATTGTTTTGTAACCAAAAATTACCTGTAGTTCCAACATTGATGGTCACAAAGGGTGATTTGCTTGCTCATCTCGTATATATGGTATATATGATATATATGATGTGTATGGTATATATGACATATGTGATACATATGAAATATATATATGCGATATGTATATGATATATATATACACACGCACATGTCTCAGTTCACGAATGTTTTTATTTGTGAACTATTTAGTTTGAAACAGAAACATTTGGCAAAATTTTGTTTTGTTTGCAAACTCTACATCAGGTGACAAACATGGCTGTGGCCATCTTTTTTGCACAAACATGAAGTTTGTGAACTGAGGTATGCATGTATATATGTATATATGTGTATATGTATATGTATGAAAGACACTGGCAGCATTCAAAATATTGAGATAATTCAGTAACAGTCCACCTTTGGGAATGGAAAAGTAATCTCTAGTTCTAAGAGTATTCATTAGAATAATACACTATTGTTTGTTTGACAAGCATAGGTGAAAAAAAGTGTTCTTCTGTGGAAGCATTTGCTATTTTTTAGTTTAACTGGTGTCTAAGTCAGTCCTAATTTCCTGCCTGTAGTCTTCCTCCAAAAACTAGACTCCATACTTCTAAAAAGTCAGCTTCCTCTGAAATGCCCAAGAAGCCTACAAGTATTTCACAGTGTTCTGGTTGGGAACCCTTCATTTTATATGTGATCCTCTTTTTCTTTAGAAAAGATTAAATTCACTCATTCAGCCACCTTCAAAATAAAACAAACAAGCAAACAAACAGTCCTATGAGGAAGGTTACTGTAACAATATATTTTCAACTCTTGGATGAAAAACAATATGATATTAAGAATGTGTTAGTGAGAGGACAGGGACATTCTCTGAATACTGTCAAAGTCTTCCAGGTATCAGCCATTACATAAGTAAAGAGATTATCCACATATGACTCAAAATCCAAAGGCCATTACTCTATGTCCTCTGTCAATATTAGATACAGTGACAATAACTATAAAATTCCTGAATCTTTACTAGTCTTACCAAAAATTCTGGCATAATAACAATATTTCTTCTACTTTTTGAAGGTGCCAAATCAATCATTCAAGAATTTCCAGAGATCACAATTTTAACTACTGAAGTTCATCCTGTTGCACCTACACATTTTGGACAGAAATACTTTGGAACGGACTAAGTTATTGAAGGAAAATGAAATATCTTCTGTAATATTACCATTATATTTTGATTTTCTATTTGTTTTGTTAATTTGAGAAATGATGGGAAAAGATGATAAAGATGCTTTTTAACTTTGAAACTATGTACAGTAAAAAGGAAATATCTAAAATGTATTAATTTTATTTAGTTATATCTTGATGGTTAGTACCAAATACAACAACGAAGCACACACAGAATCCTTAGAAAGGATGGAAATTTTAATAATATGTTAATACAAATTGAGGAAGCCTGAGTGCATCAGAAAAGTTCTCTAACTTACGATGCTTTGGAGGTTGCTTACAACCACAAAGAATATCTAAATAACTCAGTTCTTTGGCGCAGTATAGTTTGCATTTTGTTTAGTATGTTTTTAACTCTGGTAATGTTTCCTGTGTGTGATTATCGTCACCTTCCTCTACTCTTTACTTCCTGGTTTTGTACATACTGATAACTTGGAGAGGAGAGAAACAGTATGCCTTTGGGGATTTTATATTTTCCTTAATATATTCAATTCACAGACCAAGGATGTATGGTTAATTTTTTAGTCAGGTCATTATGTTTCTCATGACTCCTTACGCAAACTGTACATTATTGTAGGTGCTTTGCCAAGCTACAATATGGTGAAGAAAATGGCTGGGCACTTTCAGTAACTGGAACTGTAACATTAATTGATACAGAATAAACCAGGGATATCTGAATACTGACAAAATAGAGCTGAATAGTGTTAATGATGTCAATCCTCTAGAAAAGAATTTGTAGTGATTTTTCTGAGCGGTGGGGAAAGAAATGGTTTCTAGGTAGGTTTCATGGCCAATAAGTTAAATAAAATACATCACTTTAATTTGGATGTTTCTACTAGATGTCTTGGATTTGGAAATTAATTCTTTTGCATGTTTGTCAACTGTAGACTTATCACAGTAGAGAATATATATTCTTTTAAAAAATTCTCAAGATTTGTATGTGTTCATATTTAAGCCTCTGAAAGGGAGAGACACCATTTTAGAAGTCAATCTTTGTGTTCTAAAATGTGCTTGTGAAACCTTAATCCCATTTTACATTGATAATAAAACATTTTAACAATGGTGGTTGGCTCATTACTTGATTAATTATACTCTCATGGCCCCTTAGGCAGCTGTTATGGGCCTCTGTTCAAAATATCTAAAGGAGCAGAAAACAGTATTCTAGAAGCAAAGCTGATGAAAGTCAGCAAAGATTTGGGGGAAGAAAAGAAACTTGGTATAGAATGGATGATATTTTACCTTTGGAGCCTGAAATACTAGAATAACTTTATTCTATTTTTCCCTTTATTTTTGAACACTGTCATATAATTAGCTGAAATTAATGGATAGATTATTTACATTACAGTTCTTCCATGGCAAATGTTGCCTTCGGGTTCTTCTTGAAATTCTCATTTATTTCAGTTTAATGTTCTGATACAGTGTGGATTTTGTTTATTCCAGATTAGAAGTTGCAACGAAAGTTGTTGTTCTTGTAGAGATAGGACCTGAACCTATGGTCTTCACCCTGAACTATGTTCTTAATTTTTTCTTATTTTGAGACAATTTCTAAGTTGCTCAGGATGTGCTCAAACTTACAGTCCTCCTGCTCAACCTCCCAGTGCTGGCGGTATCCCCCATCATGTCCAGCTTGCAACTGAAGTTAATTAAAGGCAAAATCTGTATCTGCTTGCCTCAGGAAACATGTGAGTCAGCATCCAAACTTGCATGAGTTTGATTATTCCATTGAATTAGTTGGAAAGAATGATGCCTACCACTGCAGGAGTTAGTGCTTCTGAATTAGTGCTTATATTAGAGATTCAAAGTTTGTCTGAAATGACTATCCAGAACATAAGGTAAATTTATATTCAAATGTAGATATAAAACCGTGTTTCAAACAATTTCTCTTTGTATCATTAGATTTTTTTATTAGATCTAACATGTCTTTGGTCCTTTTTATTAGTGAACATGATTGGGAATTGGCCACATTTGGTTCCCACATGGTTGGCCTCATAAACACTAGGAATTATTCAATGGGGTGACATTCTCCACTGATGTTTGTCCTTTATATCCCTGTAGATTTCAAGAAAAATTATAACTCTCTTTTGGATACCCATCCAAGTATAACCAGGCCCAACCCTGCATAGCTTCCGAGATCTGATGAGATTGGGCGTGTTCAGGGTGGTATATAATATATAATTATAGTTATATAGGCTATAACTCTCTTTTGCAATGTTGGTATTTTTTTTAAAAAAGTGAAGCATTACTTGGAGGGTTAATAATAACAAAATTTTCTGACATTGATGCAGGGTTAACAGACTATTAAAAACAAATTGTTTTTAGTGACATGAATTTCAGAGCAGTATAAACTGTGTAGATGCCTTCTTACAAAAAAGAAGACCTACCATCAATCAGAGTGCTGTAGCACACACATACTACCAGCTGTTCAGGAGGCTGAAGCAAGGGGACTGCAAGTTTGAAGCCAGCCTGGGCAACTTACAAAGACTCTGTCTCAAAATAAAATTTAAAAAGGTTGGAAATATAGGTCAATAGTAGACCATTTGCCTAGTAGTTGTAAGATCTTGGATTCAATTCCCAGAGCTGCAAAACAAAATAAAAAAAAAAATCTCAAAAAAGTACTCGCACAATAAAAATAAAGTGTGTGTGTCTGTGTATATATGTATGTATATATATATGTGTGTGTATGTATACATATATATATGCATATATGTATATCAGAACTTGAGTGAACATCATAATCCCTTATAGGCCACAGATTGCTCTGGAGTTTGTGATATATTTTTTATACTATCTTTGTGTATCAGATTAATAACCCTTAGTTATTGTGGGCTGATCAGGCCTGCAATCTCCCAAATGAGGGGGCAAAGGCTTAAATAAATGACACAATTGAAATGATTTTAGAGCTCCAGGAGGTCCAACACTCTCACAGAACTTGAGATTCTCTGGGTTAAGACAAAGAACTTTTATGGGCAGCCTGTATTTATTTGGTTTTCAAAGGAGGGGGATACTGAAGAAAATGCAGGAACCTGGGCAGCACCTGGAAAACTCTTTAAGGACTTCTCCAAGTAATACATTATATTAATTTAGGAGAACTATTTTATCTCTAGGAAGGCCTTCACTGCAGAAGTGAGATTCCTGCAGCTGCAGTCTTCCCTTAGTTAATTGGGGTTGGAGCCAAAGGTCCTCAGCTGTGGCCTTTGTCCTTTGAGGTGTCCCAAGTTCACAGGCCAATCAAGCCTCACTGGGGACCAGTGACTCAGAGGTTCACTTTCTATGAATGGGTTTCCCATCTCAGGACAAGAGCCTTGGTCTTGGGCAAACTCACATGTCAACATGAAAAACCAACTGGTTAATATTAAATCCTGCTCAGAGATGCTTCATAGTGGTCTCCATCATTTGTGCTTTAAGCTTCTAGTTCAGTGATGGCAAACTTCTTTTTCTCTTTGGTTATTTCTTTTTTATCATTAAGTTTATTGGTACAGTATATATATA